TTGCCAATTCATCGGAAAATGATTGGTTGAATAACTCGAACTTCGATGAAATCGTAATTTTCAGCCAATCACGTAATGACTTTCACAAATTCAAATCTTATTGGCTATAATATTGTGTGCTTCCATAAAACTTCGGTGTCCCTTAAAATCCGTCGCCCCCGCTCCAATCGACCATTGTACGTACAGTGTACTACTTCTTCATTACAGTGTACTCTTCCTTAGGATACCGCATTATTTCTGGTGAACGGCCGATTTTGTGTGTGGGAATGAAATGTTGAGAATCACCTCACCTGTGTACAGTAATCCATGTGGTTGTATTAGTATCATAATGTGCTTGGCATTCGTTGTTGAATGTGTGTGGACTTGACTTCGTTGGCGTCCAACACAACCTGTAATGCCTGGATCCACGCTGTCATGTCATCCTCCGTCTTGGCCGCTAGGACGAGCCTTCGACTGGGGGTGCGGAGGGCGAACCTCCACACACCTGACGAGGCAGAAGTGCCAGTCTTGGTGCAGTCCTCTGGTTGGATTTCCAACGAGCCATGGCCACACGCAGACAGGTTGAGAGCGCCCTTAAGATGGCCGTCGGTTGGATCGAAGTACAAAAGTTCGTTGTCCGTGAGCTTGAAATACCGGCGTTTCCAGTTGCTTCGATGGAGGAGGCCACCCCCTGCCCCCTTTTTAAACAGTGACCCTTCTTTGATCATGACTGGGACCGTAGTAGGAGTCGCGTGCATAGGGATTTTCATTTTGTACAATGTTAGGCATTCTTAAGTCATGAGGGTGTGTGCTGGACAAGCCAATTAAAATTAAAATTAAAATCGTGACAGGCTACAAGTGAACGAGGGATTTTAAGCCGAAGTTCGTCTGAATATTGCTGTACTTAACTAATCAGAATCATGGCTTTCAAATGGTTGGTTTGATTTGTCAAAATAATCAAAGTTGACCAATCAGACGTCAAGATTTCGATTCTACTTCGATTCAAAATGTGGCTTAAATTCCCCCGTTCACTGTACTGTACCTTTCAGTGGACATGGTATAGTGCGTAGTAGTTGTTTTACTCGTACCAACAGCAGCGTATGTGATTGGCCATCTTATTTGGAGAACCAGGATAGATGGGAGCAAATATAGTTTGTTGCTGATACTTGAAGCACTGGTAAAAGTTTGATTGCATTACAGTACTACTGCACCTTATTCATACAAGAAGGATGTGAGGTGCTACTGTAGGTGAATTCAGTGTGTTTATTTAGTCGAAATCATTCCCCCAATCCGATTGGCTCGCACGATATTTCAACAATTTTCACCTCCAATAGTAAGTAACGTTACCGAAATTACTCAAGTTGCAGTTCGTACGATCACGAAATTACAGTCCAACAACAAACTGTACTGTTACTAGTAGTATACTTTACTGAAGTAGTACAGGCACTAACTTAGTATTGGTAATTCGATTTCAAAATGGACTGGGGCTGCCAATCGAATCGACGAAGCAAAATCGACGCAGTAATCCACGGACCCAAGTACAGTAGCCAATAAAATTTTCGAAAAATGACGTTTCGACCAATCAAATTGCAGGTGGGTGTTTTCGGCGCTTCTCCATTTCACAAGAAGTTCAACATTGCGTCGGGCAGACAGTGAGTATATTTAGTTCAAGTAAAATGACTTCAGGTGGATTTGACGAATCTCCCGAAAATACCAAATTTAGCTTGAAAGCACAATAGCAGTTTCTCAATGCTCTCCCTGTGTTACATATAAGTTCGACGTCATCATTACAGTACACTTGAAGCTAGCGACTCTATGAAATGCCCCAACCGTGGAGCATTCCAGCAAGCACACTCAACACTAACCCCATGTGCCAGTTGCGAATGATAACGAATCCAAGCTTGTGCACAAGACTAGCCGCCTCTGGTTGCATCGCTCGTTCCTAGGAGTCTGCACCTGAAATTGGACAGCGTTTCTCCACACCTGGCAGTCATTTTCGCTGGCGTTTCTGTGGATATTGTCTACTCGACCCTTGCGTTGCTAGCAAGCCCCTTGTGAGACCGGAAAACGTGCGCTGTGGGTTGGAATCCCGTCTGAATCAAAGACAGGTGTAGAGTTACAAACCTCCCAAACTCGGTCGATGGCGTGTTGATTCGAGTCGGATAAACACACGTCAGACACCACCGGCGCCCCGGTCTTTTCGTCAAGTACGTACAAGAACAACGGGGCGCCATTCCTACCGCCCAGTGGGCACGGACGCGGAAGAGGCTTCGTACATTCCACACAGCAATTCCGTCTTGATATCTGGTCGACTTGGTGGTGTTGTGGACTGTCGCATACAGCCGAGTCACTCGAGATTGGACTTGATTCAGCTGCTTTGTCATGGCCATTTGGAACACCCCCAGCGGCACCGCCAATTGCCCCCATCGATGGGGACGATGTTTGTCGGTTCACAGTAGCTGACGATGTAACTGCAAAGTACGGATGTTGTAGCGCCTGGCCCACATGTAGTCTCTCCGATGGCTCGACCAATAGCAACCGTTCGATCTAGTCCCTTGCGAGCAGATTGGTCACGTTGGCTCGAACGACGTGGCGGAGATTGGTGTGTGTCCACGTGTCAGCACCAGCAATCGCGCTGAGAGTCATATCCTGACATGCACCGGTGGTCCGTCCATCAATTCGTACATGCCGCAGTAGAACAGAAGCTTCATCAGCACCCCTCTATTGCCCAAGTCGATGGAGTGCAGCATCTATGGCGCCCGTGGGTGTCCTAGTAGCCGAAAGTAGTTGTCAGCAGCCAAAACAAAAGGTCTCACTGTTGAAAATGGGCGAATAGCTCGTGCGATAAATCTTATCCAGTATATCGACCACAAAACAAAATGTGATTCCCCTTGAAATCACATGATAACGTTAACGTATACATCGTGACAAAGCGACAAAATTTGGCTACGATCTGTGTTTTCTACCCTGGGGTGTGCGAAGACATTGTGCCTCTCACAGTGTTATGGCCCTTCCGTCAGAACAGCGTTGTGCCAGAAGTCGACGTCTTCAACCACATCACACACAGGTGAGCTGGCTCCACGGTTTGCCACGTATGGCCTCGGCCGTCTTCTGCGACTGATGGCAGCCGCCGACACCATGTGTGGGATTGTGCTGACGTTTGCGATCTTTAACGGACGCCAGGACATTTTGGATTGTCTCCACGCAGCACCTCAACACGGGCAGGAGCAGAATCGCTCTGTGTCCACCTTGCGATCCTTTTCTGATCGTGGCTTTGAGGACATGTAAAGATGGTGATTTTATTTCGTCAAGCTGGCGGCTGGCTACACCTTGATAGACCGATGCAATCTCGCATGATGTTTCCTGTGGCCATGTGGTGATGCTAGAAGCGTTGGACTTCGCCCAGTCGACATAGTGAATGCGTTTGTCTCGCAGTCGCTGTAAGTATTTTCGGCGATGCAAGGTGATAGTTCCCTCCCTGTATTTTGTTACTTTGTTTCGTGGAAGGGCGCCAACGAACTGGAACACGCCAGGGGGTTATCTGACTCGCGCGGACACGTCGAGTTGCCACTTCCGCTATGACCATCTCGTGAAGTTGCCAGAAGGTCTGGCTAACTCTGGCGCAGAATTAGCTCCGACAAGGCCCTACCCCCGCGTGTGTCTTTCATTTGCTAGAGGCAACGGGCATATTCACCGCCTGCAATGGCTTTGGAACTTTGGAAAGTTTGGACATCAGTGATGAGCGCCTCCGACAGAACGCATTACAAAGTCGAGTGCTAAAAGGCCACCTTAGCCCATCCCCACTGGGACGCTGCCACGTGCATGGCGCATCGCGATATAAAAGGCGGAAATGACCGCGGTAGTCGCCCTGCTGATGCAACTATGGCAACCGACGAATTCGGCCGATGTTCGGCCGATGTGTTGCAAGATAATGTTGACTTTATCAATCGATTTGGCGGACGAACGTTGGTTGCGTCAGTGGCACGTGTGAGATTCGCCATCTAGAATCAACTGATAGCGGCGGTGGTGCTGTACATGCTGGCGATGTGGCTGTGGCTGCCAGAGATGATTTGTTTCAACGACGAGCGAAGAATAGCGTATGCAATATGCTTCGTCACTGCGGCAGAGTTGGATGCAGTGGACCGACAGGAGATTCTGCAACGTCTCGTCCAGCCATGGACATTATTGCCGTTGCGATATCGATCTTTCAACTAGACTCGTTGTTGGTGTCAGCCATACGGCGGGACGAAGTGCCAAAGCTCATGTACATGTGATGGATTTTGGGCGGACTGCCACCCCTGTCGATGTTGTTCCCACTCGCTCCTCAGCATCACAGTATCGGGCATTAAAAGTCCTTCGGAGCCTGCTACTGTAAAAGGACTGCAATGCCCTCAATTCGTCTTGTGGCGATATGAGTACTTTAGTGGTGACGGAAACTATGCTGGACGATGCAACCATCTCTGCCAGGTGACATTTTAGCTTTGCTGCTTTGTGTCAAGTGTGAATATCTAGTACGGCTACTACCGGTACAGTGGACGACATGCATCGGGCGCCAACCAAGTAGTTTGGTTGCTGTTGCGACCATGCATCATCGTTCCACGTGGCATGACCAGGGCAACGTATTACCCAACTGTTAACGCTGTGGGTACCAATATCCCCCGCCCAAACAACTACAGGACTACTACAGTAAATATGTTGGACAATGAGATGGCGAGATGTCGCTTGCCAAACGAAGTGTTCCCCACATGAAACTCATTATTCAGGCCAAGCATGACGTGGCAGACGCTAAGTGGGTCGTCTTGGTCGCCAAAAAAGTCGCTCCCATCGACGAGAACGTACGCACTTGTTGAAGTGCTAAGTAAGTAGATGCTAACAAGAAGCAATTGCGACGCCAGCCTGATGGTAGTCATTCAGACGATGTGGTAGACACGATGGGATGCAGCAGGATGGCTATATCGTCCCATCATGTCGATTGGCAGAAGCAGAGGCGCAATCCGTCCACAGACTTCATGCGACGAGTCCACGCCGCTGTGAGGAAGGCTGTTCTAGATAGAAGCCACCAGAAGCAACCGACAGACCAAAAACAATGCCAGTCAAATGGTTAGAGTTCGCTACCGTTATGTGTGAAGAAGACCGCGACTAATTTTCTTGTCGACAGTAGGCACACGAATAATATCCTGTCAACCTCCAGAGCTTACCGCAGATTGAGCTTGCGTTAGGTGAACCCAAGATATAACGGCGAACAACAACAATCCTAGCCGAGAATTGACATTATCTTGGCGGTTATTGGTCTTGTGCAATGGACGCCGCCACCCGTGCCAGCGCCGTCGATACGTTGGAGGTGTCGCCTTGGATGTACAATTTTCGCCTGACCTTGTCGACCACATCTGGTCGTTCCTGGTGAAACCACTCCAAAATGTCGAAGTGGTTGTGCTTGGCCGCCGCCACCACCGCATCCCGACAGGCCTTGGCATCAACAAAAGGACTCAATTTCTGCACTATCTTCAACTGCCCCGCAGCGGCAGAAGAGGTCAAGGCCAGCGCGGGCTTTAATACGTAGTGACTCTTATTCGACAAAAGATATTGGACCACCTTGGCGTGACCATTGGCTGCTGCTCCAACCAAAGCTTGAGCCGTGCAACCTACAACATCATAGTAATGATATGAACAACATCATGACCTTTTAATGCCAAGATAACCTTCAAAGCGATGGGAATGCAAATATTGCACCATGGTTAGATGGCCCAACCTGGCGGCATCGTCCATGGCGAGCGGAGAACACGGTTCCTCCTTGCGATAACTTGTCAGAAAGTCCACAACATGTACATGGCCTGCTGCAACAGCGCCATGGAGCATATCTCGGTACCCGCCTTCGTTTCGATGGAAGTGTAAAAATTCCACAATGTTCAAATGTCCGGCCTTCGCTGCGCGAGTCATAGCCCCTTTGGTGCATCCTTCGGTGCGATGGCGGTGCAGGAATTGCACAACTTCGAAATGCCCATATTCGGCCGCCCAGTTCATGGCGCTGGTCGTGGCACCTTCGGAGCGGTGGGCGTGTAAAAACGTCACAACGTCCAAATGCCCCTCTTTCGCCGCCAAGTTCATTGCTCGCGACGAACAGTCCACGCCGAGGGTATGCAACAGCATGAGAGCTGGCAGGTGGCCCATGGCTGCCGCCTGATCCATCACAGGAGCACTCACCAAATGCAGACAGAGACGGCAAAAGCGCTTCAAGTCATCCAACGTGTGGCAGGACATCCACACCCCGAACGAGTCCATCAACAGCGGTGGACACTGGCGATACATGTGCAGACTCTGCGCCAGCGGAAGGAACGAACCGGGAACGCCCTGCTGGAACTGAAAGATCAGGGCAGTGAGTTCTGGACATGTCCAGACCTCAAGCGCAACCGGGGCAGACGTCGACCGCCGACTTGACCCGACAGAAGTCGGCATGGAGCGAATCGTTGCCGTAATAATGCCATCAGCGTTTGGATTGGCCAGGAGTGATTGTAACAATACGTGACTGGTATGTGATTCCAAAAGGTGAAAGACTGACCTTCTAACGTTAGTAGGATCGACCTTCACATTTAGCGATTTGGTAATACTAACAGTAACGTTACTCCAAGCAGAATGGTTTGTTTAACAGGAGTGTTTCCCTGCTTCTTTGCTTCACTCCTAATAAATCCAACCATCCAAAAATACCCCTAGCTTGCTACCCCGAACCCAAGTATTCTTCAAACGCGAGTGTTTTGTCGCTGGCGTGGTTTGCAATCTCGTGTCCAGTGGTTCTAGCTCACCATGGTAGCCATGGCCCAAGGAACCCATCGACACATGGGCGACGACGGTAATGAGGAGGTCCTGGTGGTGCGACGAGGTTTGCTTTTCTCCAGTGGACAAATCGAAGCCCGACACTTTGGCCATGACACGACAACGTCCGCCCACCATCGCCAGCACTGGGCGCTACGATATGTAGAGCTGTCGACAGACCACATGCTTCGATTCTACACTACACCCGGGGGGGCCATCACTAGCTCCGTGAATGTAAACCACTGCCAGAATGTGCATACAGCTGTGTTGGACACGCCCGCAGTGTCAGGGCGCCGGCTGACCAGTGCGTGGCGAGTTCACGTGCAAGTGGACTCGACCCAGTCAATTGTCTTAGGGGCGTTGTCTGAATCAAGCATGAAAGGGTGGGCTACCGCCCTTCAAGCGCAATGTATTCGTCCACTTGGTCAAACTCCGTCAATCAAGCCCAACGTACCACGCACCGTCGCCGCCATCGAAACTATCGCGAAAGTGTGGCGGCAACTGTTCCCCCCGCCAAGCCCAACGACGTCGGCTTCCCACGAGAGACGAAAACGATACCATTACCAACGAACCATGTCTGCAACCCGTTGATACCACTAGCTGCAGTGTACGATACAAACAATTCCATCGAAGGCGAATTTACACTGGATTTGTACAGTGCCGGACTATTGTAGTATCACATTCCCTTGAATATGTGTTGCCCAACACAAACATATACAGTATATATATAAATGATGAAGGACTTCCATTGAACCATCGTGCACAACACGATCCCCTTGCATTGCATATGACGACATGCCAACTTGAAAAACGGTGACAAGGGTATATTATACACTTTCCCTGGGCTATTTAGCTATGATAATATGCAAACCCAACGACACCTTAGCCTGCGCTACTACCGCCCCCACCCCCACCCTTGGCCATAGCCGTGCGAAAGCTGCAGTCGCCTCGAAGCCCAGCCCCCCCCAACCCGTCGCTGCTGGCATAAAAAGGGTCGCATCGACACACGCCCACTTGGGTGTCGCACACGCCGTGGTTGGAGCAGACGGCATCTTCTCGCGTACCGACCACCGACAGGTATTGACCTAACAGGGTCTCTCCGCCGCAGTTGACGTTGACCGTGCCTACGATATGTTTCCAGCATTGGTGCTGCAAATTCCAAATCAAATACAAAGGCAGGCAATGGATTATATACGAACAACAACCCCATAACGGGTTTACGTTTCTCGAATTTTACATATTAGTCCACGACATGTCATCGTTTGCAAGGATGGCAATCAATATTGTTGTGTGTTTATTCTAACCTGGAGCGACATGGAGAATGAATAATCACCAAATGGATGACACAAGAAGCATTGGCAGAAGAACTGAGCCAATCAGTTTGCAGGAAACCATCATCAACGTTTATATAGTGTGTGACTTAAATTAGTGTGATTACAATGACAACACATTACATACAAAATTCAGTACAACGAATCGAACGAACGACGCAACACTATAAAAAATGCATGTCACGAAGGCGCCTCACGATGCACAAAAGTACATGACTTTATATTTTTGTGGTCGAAATTCAAGATGTCCAGGGCATGCAAAACGAAGGTACCTGTGCCGGGGGTGCCGTCGCCTTGGACAGCATCCAGTAGCTGGCTCTTGTCGTTTTGAAGGCAGGGCAGCGCCCCCAGTTCGTACACGAAACGGATGGTTGTGGTGACTCCAGGGGTCGTGGCGGTACACACAGTAGTACTGGAGCCGCTGAACGTCAGCACGACACTTTCAATCGACTGGAGGGCTTCCAGGGCTTGTTTGACTGTCAGCGCAGAGATTCCACAAATATAAGTTGTTAATCCATATCAAGTAGTAGATAGATTCAGTGGTGTTTACTAGTCTTGACATACCTGTGGCGAGGTTGGCATTCCATGCAATCGAAGCTGTCGTTTGTTCGCGAAAGGTCAACGTGAACGACCCCCCCGACGCAATGCATTGCACCTGCTGCACCTCTTGCACGTCCAAGTATGTGTTAGGGTCGTCTCCGTGTGGACAGTCCACTACACAGCCGTCCGCATGTTTAAAACAATAAGATAACTCATCCGCTACTATCGTTTATAGCCTGCATATATATATATATATATATATATATTTCAAATATATTTTTAGTTATATTAGCTGTATATAATATATAAAAATATATGTCGACCTAGCCACCATAACGTGTTCATGTGTTCGTCTAAAATGAATTACGTCAACGTCATCAAAACACAAGTAAACCCATGCATTCACTCCAAATCCAAACCTAAAGCGATTCTTCAATCCTACAAAAATATGACTACCATTCGTAGATATTGTCCATTGAGCCAAAATGTTGGCCATAAGTGCTGATTTACCAAGTTATCGACCTATTTTTTCTACCGAATATTGTGTATTTAAATAAATTGCCCTGCGGTCACACTAATTGAAGTGACAAACCAATCAGTTGTTGATTGGTTGAACTGATCATTTAATGAAATCTGATTGGCTACTTGTTCTATCGAACGTTCTGCACATTTGGTTGTGTCGATACATTCTGCACGTCGCTCCAGTTTTGAATAAGCACAACAATACATATATATTATATACATGTACTTACCCAGTGAGCAATCGTAGCCGTAGAACGGTGGGTCACACAGACACGACTGGATTTTCTCTGCTTCCCACGTCCACGGGTTATTGGGGTCATCTCCAAAGGTAAACCCAGCGACGACACCATTGGATCGAACTAAAGGCGCCAGCTGCCGCAACGTTAAGCACTGGCCGTGACCAGAACACTCGTTGCCACTGCCCCCGCAGGCCACTACACAGCAAAATAGGGTAAAAAAATTATTTTAAAAAATATATCTTTTTTTGTTGGGCATTGTTTTCCATACTCAAGGCGCAAGAGGGGCCAACGTAGGGAGGAGAGCACTGGCATAGGGCGGTGGTGCGGTCGCATAGTCCGACGTTGGAGCATTCGGCAAAGTCCCGATGGGCCACGTTGTTGACCAGTGGGTACGAGAACCACGACAAACCATGAGGACATTCGCCTACAACAGTATCGCAAAACAATACTGAAAATTAAATTGAAATAATCAAAATAAAGAAAAAATGAAAAATTTTTTTTGTTAGTTTTGCTTGTACGAGGACGATGGACGACGTACGCTCGGAACAGTCGCCGTTGCGCCATCCGACAGCACATGTGCACTTGAACATGGGTTCATTCGAACAAGTGCCGTGGCCACTACCCACAATCATTAGTTAGACCCCCATAGTACTTATATGGGTTTCAATTGCGACGTATACAATTTATAAGAGTTTTACTGCCAACGAGCTAATACATTGACATATAGATATAATAGACCCCACAAGAGCGAGAGAGATGTATGCACTGCAAATTAAGGTCCAACTCCAAGATAACAACAAAATCGTAAAGGTGGGAACAGTAGAAAAATGATATTTAGGTACACAGCTCAGATTTATCACATTCGCCCGACCTGCAACATATGATACTCTTTGTGATTGCATTACCGGATTCATTCTTTGCTAGCCAATCATAATAAAAAACTTCATTATTTTTAGCCAATCATCCTGCTTTGATATGATTGTCACCAATCCCCCCCAAATTGAAAATTTGGATAGAAGCACACCACACATTTGTACCTGCACGGCACGTCGCCGGGACAACTGGCAATCGTGACAGCCATCGCCCCACAATCATCTCGCCGAATCAACGACGTAGCAGGTAGACCTCGTCCGTTGCTGGCAATGTAGCTAAGTAACGCGAGATTCAATATATAAATATATACATCGAGCGCTTGAATATTTAATAATATATACCCCGTATAACATTTGCATGCCCCGCCCTTGCTGTAGTCGCATGTGCCACGCCCAGAGCACTCGACCACTTCTTTCGTCCCATCTGTCGACGCCAAAGAGGTCACCGGGTCGACAGCCCCACTGGCAAACACCTGCACTGTCACTGGCGACCCCCTTGCGTCCGCTGTTACAGTGGGTACACTACGAATAGCCACAAATAGAATACCTTAAACACTATATATATAATATATCATATATATATCATTCCACGCCAAATCCTCGACGCAACCGCCATGGCTAACATAAGTCGCATGGCATTCATACTGACTACCTTGCTCAATCATAATCCTCCTCCCCCACATATATGTATAATATACGTGTATATGATAATATCTATCTATCTTTATATATATATATATTGCCATGGCTACCGGAAGGGGATACCTACTTGCCAAACTCTTGGGTAAACACGAGCTTTATCACGTTTGCAGGAGTCGCGCACGCTTCGCCAGTCGTAAACGTCACATCGACGCCTGAAATCGCAGGAAGTTTCTATACCAACCAGTAATACACCCATTATACATTAATATTCCGTGATATATATATCTACACATTGCACCATAACTAGGTTGGGGAATACACCACACACCCACATGTGTCGTATATGTTGGATGGTACAACCAGTCGGTCGCGGCATGAGTATACATACTACTACAAGGAGTACTAGATGATATACGCATCCTACAACTAGTACTACTAGATATGCACGCTCACAATTCAAAACGTCACTAGACACTAACGGTACTTAGAACATCTAGACATGCATGCTCCCAACCAACAACACTACACTACTACTACTAGTACTACTAGAGACATGCACACAAGCGAGGCTAGGACCTAGTAAGCGACCGTAGTACATACACTAGTACCTCAAGAACTACTACTTAACGTTACCGTGAGGGCTGCAACGACCTGACTCGGGCGTGCAGTAGCCGGAATTGGCCCCGTGCTTTGCCCTCTGAAGCCCAAACTGAACTCGCCACCGCCCAGTACGACCGTGGACGTGATCTGCTGGGTGGGCGCGCTCACGAATGTGGAGCTTAACGGCACACAGCGGGCGCCTTTGGTCACTTCCACGGCGGAGGCTGTGAGTTGGAGGAGGTTGGGGGATGCGTGAGCCAGCCCTAGGAAAAATGACATGTTGAAACAAGTAATATATTTTGGATAGTATATATATATATATATATATATTGCTGAATGGATAAACGTATTACGCACCCGACGTGCCGCCGTTGGTTCGGTCGGCAGTGAGCGCGCTCAAATCGCCATTTCCACTCGGTCTAGCAAAGGTATGTATTGGTTCATGCAACAAATCAAGTGATACTATTTATATTATATATATATATGTATTGTTTGAATTCAAACATGGATGTTTAATCATATAGAGTTACTAGGATACCCGTTAGTAGACACCACCACATATGAAATAGTGATGACCGTGCCAGCTCCCACAGAGTCACATGCCTCCGTGCCGCTCGAGTACGTGACCTACATATGTATAACACCGGAGTTTCAGATGAGGCGGGTTACTACTAGTAGATAGTACTACTAGTAGTAGTTCATACATCAATGTCGATCAACGATGGAAAGGCACCCAGCATAGCTAGCCGCAAGTCGGCGGCGGCTATCGTGTAGGGCAAGTTCGACACGGTGCGACCTACAACATAGATACCGTCAGAGCCCCTTGTAATTGGTGTAATACCGAAATTAGTGTGCGGGCATCGCAACATTACAGTGGTATACATATATCACATATTTTTGGTATGATACATATATTTATTTTTGGCTGAATAATTTTCGCATTATTCACAGTGTTAAAATAATAATGGTACCTTCAAACGACAAGGAAAAAAAGCCCGAGGTGGCCCCACACGTGAGGCTTTGGACTTCCACGCGGTGACACGTGTCAATTCCCTTTACGATTTCAGTAGCTACTGCATCTACTGTCTGCACACAGAAATGAAGACCAATACATGAATATAAATATATATATATCCGTATACTGCTTGTTTGAAAAGAAAAATGTGCAAATATATATATATATATATGTACCGGAGCGAGGCCACCAAGGAAGAGGCCGTTTCGCTGGCCCTGATTGGCTGCATCCACGACCAACGCCGGCAAGTCGCCAATGAAATCGCGATCTCGCATCAACGTAAACGCAATCGTAACCTAAATAACAACGAACAATGATGGATGGGACAGGGTTATATTTCACCAATAAAAAATATAATAAATAAATACTTCACATCTTCACCCAAACCACCGTACCTGGTTGCCGCTAGCTCGACATAGTGTCGTGCCAGAACTATACGTGACGTCGACCGTGCCAATCTTCACATATGACTCGAGCTTGAGCTTGAGATCCGAGGCAAGGGCGGTAGATGGAATATTTCCAAACAAGTACTTGTTGTACAGAAGT